AAAATAAGGGCTATGTGTTTGTACGGATCAGCAGGGTTTGTGTATTTCTGTATGTTTTTAAACTTTTCCTGGTAAATGTAATGGCTAGAACACACACACTCAAAGAGTGCATTTCCTAAGATATCTTAACTCCTATGGTCTGCGGTGGATAAGCATACAGAACACATCTAGTCACATCTAAAGCATCTGTAGGCTAAAGTCTTGATGTAATCAGAGCATATTCTGTGCCCCCCCCCATTTTAAGAGACAGGACATTTTCTGTAGTGGGGCTCAAACTCTGGAATTCCCTTCCTATAGGAGCTTGTCTACTGCTGACTTTAAAAGCGTTTTGGCACCAGGCAAAAGTTTTTATCCTCTTGGGCCTTTTAGACCCTGCCCTTCCCGTTTTATTAGATTGTCTTGTTTTTAGCCTCATAGCGCCTTTATTGGTTTTAGCTGTTTAAATCGTTGCGACCAGGCAAAAGTTTTTATCCTCTTGGGCCTTTTAGACCCTGCCCTTCCCGTTTTATTAGATTGTCCTGTTTTTAACCATATTAGATTGTCCTGTTTTTAGCCTCATAGCACCTTTATTGGTTTTAGCTTTTTAAATCGTTGCATTGCACTGGTTTCAGACTTTTATTGTTTTGCAGGTTACAATTTGTAGCACTTTTATTGTTACAAGTCACCTTATAGCTATGTATATGGAGAGGTGGGGTATAAATATTATAACTAAGGTGCACAGTTGGATGCAGGAAGTCCCACCAAAACCAAATGAGGCTTCAGTTATTCAACTGCAGGTGACTGAATGGCTTTAATCAGTACATACAAAACCATTTTCAGTTGTAAGTCATACATCTTCAAAAGATTATTATTGTTCTTCTGTTCCTGTTCTCCAAATTTCTGTTCAGGAACAAACCTTGTGTGAAGCACACCTTAGCCTACTTGGTATGTACCTTTTGTTTTGAGAATAGGTCAAGTCATCTCTACACTGGTGTTGTGCGTGATGTTTATTGCCTTACAGTCCTTCATTGAATGTTGCCAGGTTTACTAGCTAACGGTATCAGAATCTGTGCCTCCTGGACAGGCCCGCAGCCAGGATTTTTTTAGTCGGGGGGCATTTAAAATTCTTAAGGGACACTGGCTAATCAAATTAAAGGAATACGCAGCTCCTTCCCTGCATCCACCACCCCTAGGGGGCCCTGGGCTAGATGGGAGGTCAGGGGGCCTTGTCAGTAAGTCAGGGGGCCTAGCCCCAAGATGCCTCACTGTAGCTATTGGCCTGCTCCTGGATAAGATCCACCCTCTCTGCATTGGACAATACCTGCTCTTATGCCCATGGGAATGCCTCTTTTTCTCTGTAAAAGTAGCTGCAAGTGACTTTACCAGCCAGTAAGGGCAGCACCTTCCTCTGTCCTTTCTAACTCTCATCTTTTATGAATTCAACAGGCTTCGGGAAAGGCTCCAATGTGGTCAGCTACGAAGGTCGATCCTGGCATGATTATTGTTTCAACTGCAAAAAATGCTCCATCCCACTGGCTAACAAGCGTTTTGTCTTCCAAAACGAGCAAATTTACTGCCCTGATTGTGCCAAGAAGCTGTAAGGGATGATCACAGGCATGACATGCCACCTGGGGCCCTTGCTGCAGATTGGATTTTGAATCTTATCTTCAGATACAATGTGCTACCTGGCTGTGGATTTCGCATTTTAGAGGCCCGCTCACACTTGCTTTCTTATGTAGGGTAATCTCTTCTCTCTACCCCTTCCTGCCTCCTGCTGGTGGGGCTGAATAAAGCCTCTGTTGTAACATCTTAGCTGCAGATAACTTTGCTTTCTTGCACTTCTTAATATGTCACCTGAAGTTTAGAGTAGAGCCTTGCCTATCTAAATATACTTACTGATTGTCCTGCATGATTGCTGAGCAAAGGCTACTGGCGCTGATAAAGAACTAACAGTGGAGTGTCCTGTAAACCGTGGGTGGATTCACATGGCCGCTTTTCAAGAGGACTTGCTGGTCTCCCTTTCATGGAGCAGTTCCTTGAGAATGAGTGAGATCCTGTCTTTCCAGTATTGCAGCCCAGGGCCCTTTACCATAAACCAAACTTTTATTTTGTAAGTGTTTTCCATCTTTCCTTTTTTTGGGGGGGGGGGACGGGACGTTCCTGTTGATTTGTCTAGAACCCTTTTGTGGTAACCACCAAACTGTAAAACACAGATTTCCAGAGACGTATATGATTGTAATATGTGCCTTGTTTCAAAAACATTCCTGTTCTACCAAGTGGAGATTGCTGTTTCTATGGAACAGACTCTCCATTTTGTATAAACATCCTGTTCTTACAGCAATGAACCCCAGCATCTCTATCATCATCATCAACACTTTAGTTTTTACAGACAGAGCTTCTCCATGTATCTGTCCACTGAAGGTACTTCCGTGATGGATCATAGCTACTTCTGCCATGTTAAAAGCTGTTGTCGCTGCCACCATCTCCTTTCTTTACTAATGATTTTGCGCTAGGTAGGAGGGTTTCAGGGGTTGCTTTCTGAGGAGATCCTCCCAGCCTGCACTGTGATGGTCTTCCTGTTCTTCCTTCCTTGACCCCTACCATTGCCATAAGAAGCATTTCCCTGCGCTTGTAGAGTTACTAATCAAGTTAATTCTTTCTTGCTCAAAGATGTATTAAGGTACAGAGCTAAGGAGAAACAGGACAGCTCAAAGGCAGTTTCTAGCTGCCTACACATTTAGAAATCCGGGAAGATCATAAAATGCTTACTGGGATTCATCACTGGCCCCAGGAAGGTTATGTTCCACCCCACTCCACATTACACTTCGTGAACCTTGGGGAATTTTAGAGAAAGGGGATTGATAGCCCTGTACTTCCATGGATAGAGAAAAGCTGCCCTTTAAACACTACGGCACAATCATCCTTGTTCAGCAGAGAGCAGAGAGAAAAACACAAGCTTTGAGTTGGTAAGGAGGAAGCTTTACTTGCATAAGCAAATTGCTTGGGCTGAGAGTTGGGTGGTAGTTAGTGCTTCTTGATGGAATCAGAGCAGAGGGACACTGTAGTACTTTTTTTTTTTTGCCTGCCATCATGATTTAAACCACAAACTCTTATAGGTAGCTTAAAAAGGTGGTGATCACAGTTCCTCCCAGATCTTTTTGTTAGCCTTTGCCCCTTTAAGAGCACTCAGCGGCACTCCCCGCCCCCAGGTGGCCAACCACCATTCCCCACTGGACTTGTTAGATGAGAGGCAAAGAGGGCGAGCTAACTCACTCCTAGGATTGTGTCAATCACTGGGACAGCAGTTAGTCATCTTGCAGGGGGCAAGAAATAAAAAATGGCCATTTGACTCCACTCTGTATGGAAACCAGATTAAGTACGATGCTTCCATTAACCATGGCCTTCATAATAATCCACAGACAACCAACGGGGATATTAAACATGTTTTCTTAATCTACTGTTGACAAATACAGGATAGCAATTGTATTAGTAGCACTCAGCTTCATTTAAACAGTGCCTTCCCTTTATGGTTGTCACTGCCGATGTTAGAATAACCTTGCCATAAGCATAGGTAGGAAACTTACTCCTTTTAACTTTGCTGGATGGCCTGCCTTACTAGTTTTTGTACTTCAGTGTGCCTTCTGCAGAGGCTTTTGTCATTCATTTTCTGTACACAATGCTTTCCTGGGTAGCCTTGCTGCAAAGATGAGGATACTGTGCAGGTGGAACGGAGGAGGGTGGTGTGGCTGCAACTGTGTGTTATCCCATGGCATTTCCTCAAATAAACAGATCACTGCTTGCTCATTTTCACTGTAGTTGTTTCTTCTCACCACTCCTTTTCTGTTCAGGAGACGTTTACCTCCACAACAGGACCACTCAAGCATACTAGTAAAAACACTGTTAAAAAACAGTAGGCAGAAGAGCTCTGAGTAAATAAGGGAGACCTGGGATCAAATACCACTGGGTGACCTTGGGCCTGTCACTCTCAGCCTAACCCAACCACGTAGGGCTGTTGTGAACACAAAATGGGTGAAGGACATCCTGAACACCACTCTGAGCTCCCCTTGGAGGAACAGTAGGTGAGTCCTTCAGTGAACAGCCACTGCCCCAGCAAGGGAGAAACTGCCATAAAGATCACAGATCTCCACAATGAGCTTATGCGGCTGGTCCTTGTGGTGGGAAAGCCAAGTGGGGAGGCATTACCCTTGTCACTCCACCTAGTTGTAACAACCACTTGCTTCTGAAATGCTCAGGTATGCTGGTGTCATTTATTTAACTACCAGTTTGAAGACATGGCTGGAAGCAGATAAATCTTTTTGGAAGGAGGGGTTGAGGGGAAAAAAAGTATAAAAGTTCAGGATGAGTATCGGGCAGTTTACTAGCTGTATGTCCTACTTTTTACACATGCACACTTTTGGGAGCCTTTCCCCCTATATGCTTGAAGAACAAAAGAAGAAAAACTCTGGTTTGAAGCTTATGGTGTACAACAGAACTATGTGATTTAAGGCCTGCATTGCAATATTAGGGGGTCAGGGTATGCCTGTGTTTTCCCTCAGAAAATAGGAGGAGGTCTAACTGGCAAGCTCAGGCATTGTTTTTAAAAACAGGGGAAGCCTCCTTCAGATCCCCCCCAAAACCTACCACGACCAGACACCTTTCAATTGCAAAGTTTATTTAACAGTGCATATGTATGTACATACAGCTGTAAACAAAGCAGTCAACAGGCAACGGTTTGCACAGAAAAATATCGGCATCATGCTTGTTAAGAGTGATTGTCTCTGCCAGAATGAAAGAGCTATTATATAAAAATACATTTTTTGTTTAAACCTAAGGCACTGTTCTAGTTTCTAACAGTTCCACAATATCTGGAAACAGCAAAGGGGTGGGGCAAGACAACAGGGGCAGGGTCTGGCTTCCTAATTTAACCGGGACGTCAAGGAAGGGGACTTCCTTGGTTTCAGAGAGAACATTTGTATTGGGGGTGGGGGGAGAAGCAAAGACACTGAGAAGGCAGTTGCCAAACTGGGTTGAAATAGTTGCTGCTGATTCAAGCAGTCTTTTGAGGGAGCAGCACTTTCAGAAGGACAGCTAGCTACTTAAGACAGTCATAGGAGTACAACATGGGTCTTCTCTCAAGTATCTGCAAATCAGCCATGGAGGTCATTCCTTCATGCTGGACACAGTTGGGGCTAAACAGGCAGCTGAATAGACAGCAGCTCTGAGGGCAGAGGCAAGCTTGGTAAAGCAAGCAGACAAACACATGTAGAATAATTAACATGGACAAAAAGAAAAAAAACACACAACTGGAAGGGTCTAATACTTGTTTTATGTACACAAAAATACTTACATGTGTGAAGATAAACTTAAATACATGTAATTTTTTAAAAAGGAAAAACAAAACTGTTTAAACTCAACTAATGACAATTGCACAATGGGAAGAATCTGCCGAGCACTCTGCTCCCACGTGGCTGCCACCAGAGAGCCACGCGAGCTCTGTCAAAAGGACCAGAAGCTGCACAATAGCGGGATAGCCTGGTGGACTGTGCATTGCAACACCAACACAACTTGCTCCTTCAAATTTCAGGGTGTGCACTGGCTCAAACCAAAATATGGAGCCTTGCGTATTAAAATGTATTATAGAAAGGCCACCCTTCGAAAGGCTTACGTGACTCAATGGGTTAAGGTAACACACTCAATTCAACTGGTTCCCCTGGGCCCCACCAAAAGCATCCAGCTGGCCTTGGTTCCTCCCACTCTGATGAGCACGTCCTAACCACGCCTCACTCTGTGTAGCGTGTGCAGGCACTGGGGCTAATGAACAGCAGCATTTATGCTCCCTATGACACATCACATCCGTCTTACAACAGAATCACTCGGGAGGCGCTGAAGAGGTTGACCCCAGAAACTGGAATTCTGACCATCAGAGACCTGCCCCCATCTGAAATGTTCAACGGATGCAGAAGAGATTTGCCTCTGAGGCGAACAGGATCTTTTTTGTTTGTTCGTTTTGTTTTATCAAAACTCACCACTCTTAAGGACTTAGTGCTTGATTTCAAGTGTTGACAGAGACTTCAGAGCCTATAACTTTCTTTTAATAGTAAACAATCTGTCATAATTGTCATCTGACTCACACTCACAGAAGGTACTGATCTCAACTATTTATGTTATCTCTCTTCAGACATTGCCCCCTGTAACACAGGTGGACAAGGTTATGCCAGTATCTTGTAATAAACTGAGCTCGGTTTTAATAATCATTAGGGTTAGGGCATTCCCCCCCTAACTCTCTGTGCGTTAGTAAGTCTCCAGAGTAAGCCACGATATCTCATGTTAAGAGGAAAATTAAGGACCCTTAGGCAGTTTAGTAAACATTTCCTCAAGGGGAGAAGAAGTTGCATTATAAAAGGAAACAGATCCAAGAAAGCAACTGGAGAAACAGATCCAAGAAAGCAACTGGAGAAACAACAATGGCAAGAATCTCCCTGAAGAGGTTTCAAGGTGCAAGGTTAGATGGGGTAGCTCGGGGGGGGGGAAGTAACTTGGAGGTGGGCAAAGGTTCACAAGCAGCTTTTTCAAAACAAGGCCTTCACAACATAATAAAACCCTGAATTCCTCAAGTGCAACCAGGAGACTTCCAGGATTCTAGTGTTCACAGTTCTGTAAAAAAAAGAAGACATTTTTAGAACCCTCATGCCAAACAGCCGGACACTACATGAAACTGAACTTTTGACTATCAACAGAGGACCGGCACCAGTTCGGCAGGTCCCTTGAAGTCTAAGAGCCACAGGACTGGAAACACTTCTGTGTAATGAAAACCAGGAAAACTACTGGCCAGTCAGTGTGTGTGGCAGTGGCAGTCTGTTGCTTGTTACGCAATGCAATGGAGGCATTCACTTTCCCACTGAGAAAACTGCCAAGTACTCAGGTGATGGGCAACTTCCTACCAGGAACAACTGGTACTTCCTAGCAAAACTGCCTCAAAAAGGGGGATGGGACTGGGCATGCCATATATTATTGTCTAGACTGCAGAAGAAAAGTGAAAGAGGTCAACATGGCAGACTGCTTAACCAGCCATCTCCATCACCTTGCTCAGTTTCCCTCCTGCCTCCGACCAGTACGTGTCCTTCCTTTTTTCATGTCCTCCCCAGCTTCTTGGACCCAAGATTCCAATTTCTTTTTAAAAAATTCTTGAAAACAATTATTGTTCAATACAGACTTTAACGTTATAATTAACAAATTTCCTCAGCAATGAATTTTATTTGGTTTTATCTTGAGAGACCCTCCAGGAAACACAGATTACCTGATGCAGTCTCTATTGGTTTGGTCAAGGAATTCATTGTGCTTTCTTCCTCAAAAACCAGTTTGGGACTTGGAGGTACTGCAGTAGCATCTTTCAAGTTCTGGTTTGACATTTCAGCAGCGGTACTATCTGAGCTTTGCCTGGTCGTCTTGGGAACCACTCCAAGATCAATTATCTCCTCAAAATTCCATGCAAGAGATTTTCCATTCAGATTTGATAGGAATCCAGTTGGGTGATTGGCTTCATTAACATGCAGAATTCCAGAGTTCTCAATTATTGCTTCCTTTGCTGGAGGACTGGAAAGAGAATGGAGCAGAACAGGATTTGTTTTCAAACTATTTATTCCACTCCATACTGACTGAACCATTCAGCCAGCCCAATCTATCTTCTCTTATTATCTATGTTTTAAAAACTCTCTCTGGAGACAAAGACAGAACTGAAGGCAGAGGTTCCACTATCAGTTAGTTGTATGTGAGAATGACTCAGCTGTCAGGCGGCAACAAATGCAATGTCGGCCCTCTAAGTAATAAGAACCAACCAACCAGCCGCCCACAGCTCCTCTCCTAAGCCCTTGCCTGTGGGCCAGTTTGAAGAAGGTACCATTTATTATCTTCCTCAAATAAAATGAGACCTCTGTGTGGGCCTAAGGCCTCAAGGGAGAAGCAGAGGCTTACTGTATGCACAGTGCAGTGCATTGTTTCCCTCAAGCTGTTGAGATAGCTTACCGTGCTGGAAGGAGAAGCAGGAATTTCTGCCTTTTGCACTAGGGCAGGGAGAAGAAGAAGAAGAAGAAGAAGAGATTGGATTTATACCCCGCCCTTCACTACCCAAAGGTGTCTCAGAGCGGCTTACAAACTCCTTTCCCTTCCCCTCCCCACAACAGACACCCTGTGAGGTAGGTGGGGCTGAGAGAGCTCTTGACAGAAACTGCTCTTTTTCAAGAACAGCTGTTGAAACTGCAAGAGGCTCCCACTGTCCTCCAAACCCCAGCAAAAACTGCCTCTCCCACAAGCCCTAAAGAAGACTGAGGGGAAGAAGCTGATGGTGAACAGAAAGTGAGCCTTGAGCCAAGTCAGGATTTTTAGTTCCTGCCAGTTAGCCAAAGAACTGCTACCTTGTAAGGCGGTATTTTATTTCTAAGAACCAAATCTTCACAATCTACAAGCATCACTTTAACTGAGTTTACCTCTGCTTTTAAAAGCAAAGGGCTTCTGTACAACCCTTACATTTAAACAACTTACATTGCTTCATAATTAACACAGCACCCCCAAACCCTTGCAAGTCAGGGGAAGGCTTGCTTAGGCCAGTCACTGACCACTTAAGAACAAAAACTAAGCTACTTGGCTTTCAAGTCAAGAGCTACAAATAAACTTGGCTTTCAAGTCAAGAGCTACACTGATGCACCAGGAAAGCTGAGCAGCAGCCAAATCAATCAGCAGTCACTAAACAACTGTTGCTTCTGATCACCAACCCCCCAATATTTCATTAGGAGCAAAGTGGCTTTGGCTAATTCAGACATGAATGTCCTATTTCGCCATCATCATTGCTGCAAATAATTCCCTTGTCATGCACCACCACCACTTAAAGGATTCACTGCCACAAGGTATGTGGTGATAGCCTTTGGCTTGGTGGTTTTAAAAGGGGTTAACCAATTTAATGGAGACTGGATACACAGTGGCTACAAGTCATGACAGCTAAAATGGAACTTCCAGGCTCAGAAGTGCTGTGTACTTTTGAACACCAACTGCTGAGACAAAATAATGACAGATGGGCTATGGTCTTCATACTGTTTCTTATATGTCTTGGGCACACACCAAGTTTACCTTTCTATAGAGCTATCAAACTAAATACTTACCTGGCCTCTTTTATCTGGGTAAAATGCTCAGAATTCTCATCTTTGTCTGTCTGATTAATCTCCAGCTGCTCGTTGCCGTTTATAAAGACATCACCAGGCTCTATTGTTGATGCTTCTTGTAATAAACTCTCAGGAGCATCTTCCAGAGGTGAGTCAATGTAATTTGCCTTTTCTGAAATGCAGAGTTTTGTTATTAGCCAAGGAAGATCTGAAAAATTATGGGGAGCTAACACAAACTGCTCAATAAGATGGAAAAACATGTCCCACTTTACTTTCTATTGTTGAGTTGGTTTTTTGCCCCCTTGCAAGCCTCTAGATCTACCCGGAAATCCCTCTAAGGCCTGGCTCATGCACACAGGAGAAAGAAGTGATAGAATGAACCAAACCACTTCAGATAGTGGTAGATCACACAAAATTACATTTTGGAATGCCTCCGTATAATAAACCCGCTCTGCAAACATGATCAGGACAGCATGCAAAGGGGGGAGGTTTGAAATTTTCCCTTATTGTGCTGATTTTCTATTTGCATGGCTCTTTTAAAAATTATTTTTAATGCACGAGTCAAAGCTAGCATCACCTGCAGTCTGAGACCACTGCATTCTACAACCTCTTGTGTCAACCAGCTCTCAAACACTGGCAATATGGACCTAGCAACTTCGCACACCTAGGAATACTTCTTACCAGGCTGATCTTGCTTTTCAAGGCCCAGGTCATCCTCCTCCTCAACATCCTCATCTTCATCATTTGATTTCTCTTCATTCTGTGGCAAAGAAAACAGTAACAGCTCCTTGCAAGGGACTACATTCAGATCTCAACATGCTGAGCCCTGGAGAACTGTCAAATCTCCAAGCTCTGCAGAAGTTTCAGAGCCATTCAAGTCTTAGCAGTGACATGGCTGCACATGAGTTGGCACCACATGAGAAAACAGAGAACCTGGCTCTACTAGTCTGATATCTGTTTACTAGCTCAAGCAACTTATATCCATGTGGGGAAGAGCACTTTGCCTTACAGGTTACAGTATCAGCTGTGTGAGAGTTTTTGAGCTCTGAAATGAAGCCGTCATACCACTATATATGCCTAATCATTTACCTAAAAAGTAGACAGCCTACAACATCTTCTTGAACAATGAGCAGCAACACACATTACCATCCTTACCTTGGCTTCATTCTGTTCCGCCTTCCGAGTCCTCTTCATTATTTCTTCAATTCTCTGTTTGAATGACAGACAACATCAAGAATAAGTTCTGAACCTCTTCCCAATAACTGACACTAAGACAAGCAAAAATACGCAGAGTTTGCTTTACGTCAAAGCGAACACATGGCCATCCAGCTGTTTCTCCATAAAAACCTCTGGTCCCTATTTTGAAAGGAAAACCAAGCAGAAAGCAGTACCTTCTTCCTCTCCAGCCGCTCTTGCATGTTCTGCTGCATAATTCGCTCTTGCTCTTGCCGGTGCCTGTTAGCTTCTTCTTGTGCTTTTGCTTCAGCTTCTTCTCGCTGAGAGAGAGAAGGAACACCATCGTGGAAGTAAGTCAATTTCTCTCATGACAAGAAAGTGAAACAAATCAACCTGCATCCATGAAAGCATCTGCTGGGGCATTCAAATGGCCAAGTACCCGAGCAAAATGCTGTCTCCCCCAAATAAAGAGAAATGACAAGCTTTTATCACCACTCAGTATCTGGTAACTATCAGATGAGACCAATCTTTATTTCAGAATGAAGTCAGAGCCGGCCCTTCCATTAGGCCAACCTTGGCGACGGCCTAGGGGCACAGATCTCCGAGGGGCGCAGCGAGGCCCCTGCTGCCGCCACCCGCCCACCCCCAGCATGGCTGTCTGGGCGCCCCGAGAGGGAGGGAGAGGGGGAAAAAAGGTGGCGGCTGCTTCCCGTGCAGCCACTCACGCACCAGGCCCCACCCCCTTCCCACCAGCTCACTTCACCACACACACGTGCCTCCTCCCTACTGCTCCACGGTGCGTTCTGACTCCGCCCCCTTCCCCTGCCCGCGCTCTTCCTTTTGGCGATGGAAGGGAAAGGAGCAGGAGGAGGCGGGGCGATTGGAATCGCTCTCTTCGGGGACCTCTTGACTTCGCCCACTCGCCCTGGCGTGTTCTCTCTGGTCCCTCCCCCCTCCTGTTCGTTTCCTCTGGTAATGCTGACTCCTCCCCCTTCAGCTTGCTTTGCATGAACAGGACGGCTCCCCCCATTGTGGGAGTGGGAAAAGGGGTGGTCGTGGGGGGGATTCTGGGCTTTCCTTGCTCTCTCTCCCCCCCATGCATTTTACTGTATATTCAGGCTCTTCTCCTTCCCCCCCCCTCAGCTTTTATATCCCCCCCCAACTATGCCTTTGATCTTCTTTTCGTGTTCCCTCTAAGCTGAGTTAGTATGAGCTAGCGCCGAGTTTTTTTGCCTCCGGCTCATGCATTTTTGTCTCCGCTGAGGAAGGATGGCTCCAGAGCAAACTAATTTATGTAGCAGCCAAATCGCTCTCTCACAACTTTAATGCCAGTAGCTCACAAAGTAGGATTTTGGCTCACAAGACTCCACAGCTTAGAGGGAGCATTGTCCCCCAACTATGCCTTTTGATCTTCTGTTCTCTCTCATTTCCAAGCCCTTTCTGTTCTCTTTCCTTCTCTTCCCCCCTCCCCTGCATTTCACTGTATATTCAGGCTTTTTCTTTCCCCACCACATGTGCTGCATTTGCATTAACTAATTGTGTGTGTGTGAAGTGCCTTCAAGTTGCTCCCAACTTTTCATTCTTCCTAAAATGCATTTATGTTTGAAAATTGGGGAGCACACGAGGGGGTGGGGCGCCAGAAGGTATCCTCGCCTAGTGTGCAAAAAAACCTGGGGCCAGCCCTGAATGAAGGGCCACAGAAGATAAAAACAAGATAGCTGGAAAAAGTACAGAGGAGGACAACCAAGATGATTAGGAGGTTGGAGCACCTTCCCTATGAGAAAAGACTGAAGAGTCTGGGACTTTTCAGTTTAGAAAAGAGATGACTAAGGGGGGGACATGATCATAGAATCATAGAATGTTAGAGTTGGAAGGGACCTTGCAGGTCATCTAGTCCAACCCCCTGCACTCTGCAGGAGTATACTGAAAGATAGCCCTACATACCTACAAAATACCCGAAAGATGGTCGTCCAGCCTCCGCTTGAAAACGTCCAGCGAAGGAGCATCCACCACCTCCTGAGGCAGACTGTTCCACTGCTCAACCACTTTTACAGTTAGGAGGTTTCTCCTGATATTTAGCTGGTAATGACTCCCTTGTAATTTCCACCCATTAGATCTAGTCTTGCAATCCGGAGCAAGAGAGAATAGATCTGCTCCATCTTCTACATGACAGCCCTTCAAATACTTGAAGACTGCAATCATGTCCCCTCTAAGCCTTCTCTTTCCCAGGCTAAACAGACCCAACTCTTTCAGCCTTTCCTCATAAGACTTGGATTCCAACCCTCTCACCATCCTGGTTGCCCTCTTCTGAACACACTCAAGCTTGTCAACATCCTTCCTAAAATGTGGTGCCCAAAACTGGACACAGTACTCCAGGTGGGGCCTGACCATAGCAGAATAGAGCGGAACTACCACCTCCCGTGATCTGCACACAATGCTTCTGTTAATGCATCCTAAGATTGCATTAGCTTTCTTCACAGCCACATCGCACTGCAGGCTCATGTTTAGCTTGTGATCAACCAGAACACCTAGATCTCTTTCACATGTGCTGCTGTCAAGCCAAGTCTCTCCCATTCTATATCTATGCCTTTGATTTTTTGTACCTAAGTGTAGGACTTTGCATTTATCTCTATTGAAATTCATTTTATTTGTCTCAGCCCACTGTTCCAGCCTATCTAGATCATTTTGAATCCTGACTCTGTCTTCTTCAGAATTAGCAATCCCACCTAACTTCATTTCATCTGCAAAT